CATCCGGTAGACAGAGAGGTAGATAGCCGGGGCTAGCTCAAGGCTAACTGGTGCTACGGGGGCAGTGGTGATTAGCCGACAGCAACCATTCGACATCCATTCGGTTGCGGCTAGCTAGATCCGGTGTTATGGTCCAGTGATTCAGTTATTCCGGCAGAAAATCCGATGTTCTGGGTGAAAACCGCTAACGTCGGCTAATAGCAAGTAGCTAGTTAGCTGGCTGGCTAGTTTCAACTGGAGATTCTAGATAAAGGTGAATAAATAATAGAATCCGTTCCGCATTGAGTGAGGCGGGTTGCAGGAAAGTATATTTAGTAGAAGGATGAAAAGTGTGATAGGGAAATCTATACGTAAAATATAAAAAAATTACAAAAAACAGGCTATTTACATGGACACACAAGAGAACACGACCGCACTGCTATGCAATCTTGGTGGTTCCAAACATCTTCCATTTAAGAATGATGGAGGCCACTGTTCTTGGGGACCTTCAATGCTGCAGATTTTGTTTTGCTACCCTTCCCCAGATCTGTTCCTCGACACAATCCTGTGTCAGAGCTCTACGGACAATTCCTTCAACCTCATGGCTTGGTTTTTTTATATTGCTACTGCTCGAAAAAAAAGGATCTCGGTCGACCAACAGCCTATCGACCAAACAATTGACCAGTCTAATAATTGGTGTCAGCCCTAATGCCATCCGTTAAAGCAGACTACTTCAAATTAGAACCGATTTAACGGAGTGGTTCACCAAATCTCAATTTTGAGCCAAATCTCTATTTTTCTATGTAAATGGAATGTTATAGAAGTGTCCAGACACTTTTCTTAGGTTTCACTTGGTTTTGAGAAACTTACCCCACCACCAAGTAGACTTCCTCATTGCTTGTTCTGCAGTATGGGGGCCACAGATCAACCATAAACAAAGGCTCCAAACGGCAATACTCTGTATAGTGATGCAGGTCTTTTACCCATTGTGGTAATACGAGAAATGTGTCCCTCGAGTCCAACAAAATGGAATATAACATTGCGAATAGTTTGGAATGACACTTTCATGTGTACAACATCTGAAGACCTGCATCACTATACTGAGAGCTCCTCCCTTCCTATAGAAACTCAAACGTGAAGTACCTGTGCTAAGGTCTATTCAACACTGGTCTGACCAATCGGAATCCATGCTTCAAGATTGTTTTGATCACGCAGACTGGGATATGTTCCGAGTTGCCTCTGAGAATAACATTGACGTATTCACTGACAGTGACTGAGTTCATCAGGAAGTGTATATGGGATGTTGTTCCCACTGTGACTATTAAAACCTACCAAAAACTTTGGATAGATGACAGTATTCGCGCAAATCTGAAAGCGCAAACCACTGCATTTAACCACGGCAAGGTGACTGGGAATATGGTTGAATACCAACAGTGCAGTTATGCACTCCGTAAGGCAATCAAACAGGCAAAATGTCAGTACAGAGACAAATTGGAGTCACAATTCAACGGATTAGACACAAGACGTATGTGGCAGGGACTCCAGATAATCACGTATTACAAAGGGAAAACCACGTCTTGCTCCCGGACAAGATAAACACCTTCTTCGCCCGCTTTGAGGATAACACAGTGCCACCGACGCGGCCCACTCCCGAGGACAGTGGGCTCGTTCTCCGTGGCCGACATGAGTAAGACATTTAAGCGTTAACCCACGCAAGGCTGCCGGCCCAGACGGCATCCCTAGCCGCGTCCTCAGAGCATACGCAGACCAGCTGGTTGGAGTGTTTTACGGACATATTTCTCCCTATCCCAGTCTGCTGTCCCCAGTTGCTTCAAGATGTCCACCATTGTTCCTGTACCGAAGAAAGCAAAGGTAACTGAACTAAATAACTATCGCCCCGTAGCACTCACTTCTGTCACCATGGAGTGCTATGAGAGGCTAGTTAAGGATCATATCACCTCCACCTTACCTGACACCCTAGACCCACTTCAGTTTGCATACCGCCCCAATCGATCCACAGACGATGCCATCGCACTGCACACTGCCCTATCCCATCTGGACAAGAGGAATACCTATGTAAGAATGCTGTTCATTAACTACAGCTCAGCCTTCAACACAATAGTACCCTCCAAGCTCATCATTAAGCTCGGTCATCATTAAGCTCTGTGCCCTGGGTCTGAACCCCGCTCTGTGCAACTGAGTCCTGGACTTCCTGACTCGCTGCCCCCAGGTGGTGAAGGTAGGAAACAACACCTCCACTACATTGATCCTCTGCACTGGGGCCCCACAAGGGTGCGTGCTCAGCGTCATCCTGTACTCTCTGTTAACCCATGGAGGCGTGCCTGGCCACGCAGTCAATTCAATCATTAAGTTTGCAGACGACACAACAGTAGTAGGCCTGATTATCAACAATGACGAGACAGCCTACAGGGAGGAGGTGAGGGCTCTGGCGGAGTGGTGCCAGGAAAATAATCTCTCCCTCATCGTCAACAAAACAAAGGAGCTGATTGTGGACTTCAGGGGACAGCAAAGGGAGAACGCCCCCATCCACATCGATGGGACCACAGTGGAGAAGGTGAAAAGCTTCAAGTTCCTCATCATACACACCACTGCCTGCCCTCCAGGACACCTACAGCACCCGATGTCACAGGAAGGCCAAAATGATCATCAAGGACATCAACCACCCGAGCCAAGGCCTGTTCATCCCGCTATCATCCATAAGACGAGGTCAGTACAGGTGCATCAAATCTGGGACCGAGAGACTGGGAAAAACAGCTATCAGACTGTTAAATAGCCATCACTAGCCGGCCTCCACCCAGTACCCTGCCCTGAACTTAGTCACTGTCACTAGCCGGCTACCACCCGGTTACTCAACCCTGCACCTTAGAGGCTGCTGCCCTATGTACATAGACATGGAATCACTGGTCACTTTAGTAATGGAACACTGGTACCTTGAATAATGTTTACATACTGTTTTACAAATGTTATATGTATATACTGTATTCTACTGTATTCTAGTCAATGCCACTCTGACATTTCTCGTCCTAATATTTATATATTTCTTAATTCCATTCTTTTACTTTTATATTTGTGTGTATTGTTGTGAATTGTTAGATACTACTGCACAGTTGGAACTAGGAACACAAGCATTTCGCTACACCCGCAATAGCATCTGCTAAATATGTATATGCAACCAATAAATGTTGATTTTATATGCTGTTTCTGAAAGGACGTATTTGGGTGTTTTGTGGAGCCTGTGTTCATTTTTATCCGTGGCCCACATACTGCAGAACGAGCAATGAGGAAGTGTACTGGTGGTGGGGTAAGTTTCTCAAAACCAAGTGAAATTGCAAAAATGTGTCTGGACATATAATATGCCGTTTACATAAAAAAATTGAGATTTGGTTCAAAAAAAGTAAACCACTCCTTTTAAGTACATTGCTTGCCCATTCAGAGACTTGCTTGCATTTCTTCCTTTATGTCAGCAATGTTTTGTAAAGGTTTGTTGGCAAGCCTCAGCCTGCCCTGTTCAATACCTTATCTGCCGTTTCAGTTCCGCCAGATGGTCCTCTTATCACTTCCTCTGCCAAGGATGCCTTGTAATCCTGACCCTGTCATCCCATGATTGTGCTACTGTTTAAAGGTCAATCCTGTTTGTTAACCTCAACACATACTAGCACAGGAGGCTGGAATACAGAGCTGTCCTTCTCTGACACTCCACACAGGCCTCTACATTTTCTATGGTTGATCACTGTTTTAATGTTGGATTGTAGCTGCTATGGGAAGGTAGGCTACCCACACCTAAAGTGGAGTTCCACCCAGTGAGAAGTGGTAATTTAGCCAGACGGGACTCCCTAAAAACATGCCACTTCCATAAAGCTATGACCGGAAGTGACTTTTCGTCGCAGGTTATGAGAACGTTTTTCCTAACCCTTTTCGCTAACCTTAACCTAATTCTCCTAACCTGCCACATTTTCCTAACCTGCTATGAAAAAGTAACTTCCGGTCGTGGCTGTATCCAAGCAACGTGTTTTTAGGGAGTCTCGTAGCCAGATGTCCCTTGCGTTGACCCCCTGGCTCCTCCCCCTCCCATTGACTGTGGCAGTCTGACTGATGAGTCTGGTCAGAGATCTGTATATAATGACGAGATGCTCATGTCTCCGCTCTAACAATGGGAGTCGTCGTCCCAAGCGTAAATAAACCCATAGAAACGCATTGGGCTTATTTTGGACAGATTTTTGCGGGAGTGAAACCTCTCGCTTCGCCTCTTCCTCTCTGGTCTGGTTTCATACTACTGGTAGTAATCACCTGCTAAGCTACAAGATTACAGGCAGCCAGTCAAGAACTTTCATATCCTGCCTGGGCTGATTTTGATTTACTCAAGAAAATTCCTGTTAATACCACTCAATCTTCTAGTCCTAGTGACCGAGTCCTTAGGGTTGTCTGCCATTGATGGGTGGTAGCCTTAGACAAATGCAGCAGGATAGCTGGAGTAACAAATACATTATGGTTTAATTTGAAATTGAGAAATATTGCTGTCTTTTCACTCTAACCCCTCTAGGCTCATTCTCATTCGTCATTAGAAGCTGGTCTCGTCATTATACCAGCTGCCCCCATTTACCTCTGACAACAGTATAATGGTCTCCACTGTTATCTGCAGTCAAGGCAGGCATTGCGGATTGCAGGACCAGATAGGGTAATTGGTTCTGTATAGATAACTGCTATCTGCCCACTCTATCGTGGATGTTGTGAGTCTGTGGGGTTGGATATCTAGGCTAACTGAGAAGCAGCAAGAAATCAGGATTTCATGGTGCTATCAGCTCAGTGATGAAATTAGGCCTACTTCTAGTAGTCCAGCTGCAGGTATTACAAATTGGAAATCAGAGTGCAGTTGTGCTACACAGCTAATTTGAAGCTTTTCTAATGCCTCCTTTACACTCCAGGATAACCAAGTCTTTGTTTTGACCACAGACCCTCCCTCAGGCTCATGTTTTCTGACGCTTTCATTTTCCTCTTTGCAGAATGCCTCCTGCGTCATTGTGGCGTCCAGACATGCCAGCTCATCAACAGTAAGTACTCTGACCACCTCTTCAAGGGCACTCATTGTCAGTTTGCCAATTATTATCATCATCATTGTTGGTGATGCATGATGTTAATAGGGATTGACAAGAAGAGATGATTTCCCTCTGTTCTCTCTGCCATTATGGACCATGGTGATAACTTTATAAGCCAGTGTTTTTCAACCAATGTTTTGGATATAATGTTTGTTTGACCAACACAGACCTGGCAGTGTTATCACACATTTTTCACTAGGTTCTCTGTAGTTGACCTTTTTATATAGGCTGTTTTTCAACAAATGTGATTTTGACTGAGCTTTCAGAGACGTGTATGTTTTTGCAGAATCTAAAGGATGTTTTATCAGACCTCATCCCAAAAGAACAAAGTAGGATCAAGAGCTTCAAACAGCAGTATGGCAAAACCAACATTGGATCAATCACTGTTGATATGGTAAGTAACTGAGCTGTATTCAGTATCTCAGGGGGGGAGAGAATGTAGATGAATTAAGATCAGGATCATCTTTACACATTTTGATTTGAAACGCTTATGCTATTTCTGGACTTTGATCAGAGCAAATGAGTCTAGCCTATATTGAGCGTTCTGTACAGAGTGTAATTTATTTTAGTGTTGTTTCACAGGTCTATGGTGGGATGAGGGGCATGAAGGGTCTGGTGTACGAGACCTCAGTGCTGGATCCTGATGAGGTATGTTCCCTGCCCTCACAACACACACAATCCACTAAACATTAACACCCACAGAATAATTGATGTGTCGAGCTGAGCACCCTTGGCTCTTGTAGATAAGCCATATGGGCACTTTACAGTGCCTTCAGAAAGTATTCATACTCCTTGACTTATTCCACATTTTGTTGTGTTACAGCCTGAATTCAAAATGGATTAAAAATAATAATATTCTCACCCATCTACACACAATACTACACACAATACTATACTATCTACACACAATATAATGACAAAGTGAAAACATGTTTTTAGACATTTTTGCACATTTATTGAAAATGAAATACAGAAATATCTCATTTAAATAAGTATTCACACCCCTGAGTAAATATTTTGTAGAAGCACCTTTGGCAGTGATTACAGCTGTGAGTCTTTCTTGGTAAGTCTCTCTAAGAGCTTTCCACACCTGGATTGTACAACATTTGCCCATTTATTATTTTCTAAATTATTCAAGCTCTGTCAAATTGGTTGTTGATCATTGCTAGACAACCACTTTCAGGTCTCGCCATAGATTGTCATGTAGATTTAAGTCAAAACTGTAACTCGACCACTCAGGAGCATTCACTGTCTTCTTGGTAAGCAACTCCAGTGTATATTTGGCCTTGTGTGTTAGGTCATTGTCCTGCTGAAAGGTGAATTCATCTCCCAGCGTCTGGTGGAAAGCAGACTGAACCAGGTTTTCCCTCTAGGATTTTGCCTTTACTTAGCTCTATTCCTTTTTTTTTTTTATCCTGAAAAATTCCCCAGTCCATAATGATTACAAGCATACCCATAACATGATGCAGCCACCAATATGCTTGAAATATGGAGAGTGGTACTCAGTCATTTGTTGTATTGGATTTGCCCCGAACATAACTTTGTATTCAGGACAAAAAGTTAATTGCTTTGCCACATTTTTTCTAGTATTACTTTAATGCCTTGTTGCAAACAGGATGCATGTTTTGTAATATTTGTATTCTGTACAGGCTTCCTCCTTTTCACTCTGTCAATTAGGTTAGTATTGTTAAGTAACTACAATTTTGTTGATCCATCCTCAGTTTACTCCTATCACAGCCATTAAACTCTGTTTTAAAGTCCCTGAGCGGTTTCCTTCCTCTCCTGCAACTGAGTTATCATCCAAAATATAATTAATAACTTCACAAAGGGATATTCAGTGTCTGCAATGTTGTTTTATTTTACCCATCTACCAATAGTTGCCCTTTGTGAGGCATTGGAAAACCTCCCTGGTCTTTGTGGTTGAATCTGTGTTTGAAATTCTCTGCTCGACTGAGGGACCTTAAAGATCATTGTATGTTTGGGGTACAGAGATGAGGTAGTCATTCAAAAATCATGTTAAACACTATTATTGCACACGGAGTCCATGCAACTTATGTGACTTGTTAAGCACATTTTTACTCCTGAACTTATTTAGGCTTGCCATAACAAAGGGGTTGAATACTTATTTACTTAAGACATTTCAGCTTTACTTGTAAAAATGATTTTGTAAACATTTCGAACAACATAATTCCACTTCGATATTGTGTGTGTGTAGGCCAGTGACAAAACATCTCCATTTAATCCATTTTAAATTCAGGCTGTAAGACAACAAAATGTGGAAAAAGTCAAGAGGTGTGAATACTTTCTGAAGGCACTGTATATAAATTGTGTCCAATTTCTCTTTAGGGCATCCGCTTCCGGGGCTACAGCATTCCAGAGTGTCAGCAGCTGTTGCCCAAGGCTCCAGGAGGTCAGGAGCCGCTGCCTGAGGGCCTCTTTTGGCTGCTGGTCACAGGACAGGTCCCCACAGAGGAACAAGTGAGATGGGGCTAGGGCTGGATGTGCTAAGGCTAATTTAAACTGAATGTGAAGATTTAGTCTCAAGTTCAAAAAGGAGGTTAAAGGGTAGGTAGAATAAACATAACCACATGTAACATGGATTTGCATTAGTATACGCATCAAAAGTTCCAATGCAAGGTTACACCTCACTTTTCTATTTTTCAAGTTGTTACATAAAACCGATCAGAATGCCGAAGTCATGCTGGAAAAAGTTTTTCCGGGGTGTGGCGTTATATGGAGGACACGGCCAGCCAGCCTATTCCCTATCATGTAAACTCCAACAGAAATAACTTTAAATGTATAACTTCAAATTAAACCAAATCGTTTGCCCTCATGACTACTGGTTTCAATAAAATGTTCAAACCAACTTAAAACCAAATAATTTATGATTTTATTGTTAAAGATCAGCTTGCAAAGTTGCTAGCCAACTAGCCTGCTAACGTTAGCCCTACTATCTAGCCTGCTAACGTTAGCCCTACTAGCTAGCCTGCTAACGTTACGTTAGCACTGCATGAGTCGGCCAGTTGTAAACCAAAGTTTTGAAAATACATAACACCATCTAACCAATTATCAAGTAATGTTGCCGGTACATGCAGTTATTTTAGCCAGCAAGCCAACCAGCTAAAGTTATTTTAGCCTGCTTGCTAACTAGCCTAGTTAGCCAACCACCACGGGTCGACATAGCTAAGTGGTAAGCCAGAGAACAACACCAATTATTCTAGCACAAACAGAAAAAAGAAGCCAGCAGATATAAAGTAGAGAGAGTGGAGACTTACCGATTTGACAGCTGAGTTAGCGACCTCAGAGGGAGAGGCCTTTTCACCGGCCCGAGGGAGAGTCAGCTAATCCAATAGCGATCTAGTGAGGTAAATCCACATTGAATTTACCCGGTTTATCTCATCACTGCTGACACTCGCGATGTAGGAAACGGGTTGCTGGCTTAACAATCACGCTCGGCACAGCACCTGGTTTCAGTCTGTCTCCTTCCGAATCCTGCCTTCCACTGGTTCTAGCCATCTAAGTCCTCCAGGGTTAAATGTGCACCGCATGCAGTAGACGTGCCCGTGGTTCCTTTCAACCAATCTGCTCACTTCAACCGGACAAACCGGTCCCACTTCAAAGGTAGCTTCTCGTTTTTGGGCCACAAATTAGTTGTAACCCCATCTTTGTGGGTATTACTGCACTCAGCAACAACACACCTCCTTGGCATTTGGTGTTTGCTGCAGCTCTTTCTTGAAGCCACCACGAGATTAGGTCTAATTCTACCCTCATGTGGCTCAACTGGAGGAAATTCCTATGTTATTACATACTACAAGCAAGTTACTTTATGGTTTAGGAGGAAGGCATTGAAGTTCTACAACCATAGCCAAGTGATGGGGATTTATAGTGTTTGGGATTAAATAACATTTCCTGTCTGAATTTCTTTTATTGGCCCTACTTATACTCAACAATCCTGTTTGCATCATCTCTCCAGGTGAGCTGGTTGTCCAAAGAATGGGCTAAGCGGGCAGCACTCCCCTCCCACGTTGTCACCATGCTAGATAACTTTCCCACCAACCTTCACCCAATGTCCCAGTTCAGTGCCGCAATCACAGCTCTGAACAGCGAGAGCAGCTTTGCCCGGGCCTACTCCGAGGGCGTCAACAAGTCCAAGTACTGGGAGGTAAGTCACACACAGACAGACCCCAGCATGTATTCTTCACAGACCTGGGTTCAAATGGTATTTGAACATTTTCAAATACGTTGTCTGTGTTTGTTTGAGCTTGCCTGGCGAAATGGAACAAACAGAATAGCCATTAAGGTGTAAACTTCGCACATCTTGCGCTCCAGGCAGGCTAAAGCCAACGCTCCTATTTCAACCCAGTTCTGCATTCCTCACACTACAATGCAGTACAGTCAGAGGTGTGGCTAAAGGCATTAAACCAGAGGGTGATGCCGGATCTAAACCTTGACTGATTTAAAGTGCCTTTCAAGTGTCTGTTCTTTAAATGTGAATTTTAACCAGCACACCAGGTCTCCCTTGACGAGCATATTAATCTCTTCCTTAACTTCCTGGTTAAAGATTAGGCTAAATTTAAATAAACAGAAACACAACCACACTGTTTCTTGTGTAGAGCAGGGAATTACAGCCCCAGAGTCCGACAGACAGACTTGAAAAAGCTCACAGACCAAAACGTCAACAGGAAATCAGCTACAGAGGTAATCGTGTGTGTGGGATTTATCAGGTCTTTCAGTGAGATCCTGTGGGAGACAGTCTACTGACTGTTGATTAAACCACCTACCCTTCTCTATTCAGTTCCTCTATTCCAGTTCATCTACTCTATTCAGTTAATCTATATTCCAGTTCATTTACTCTATTCAGTTCATCTACTTTATTCCAGTTCATCTATGAGGACTCCATGGACTTGATTGCCAAGTTGCCGTGTGTTGCTGCTAAGATCTACCGTAACCTGTACCGTGAGGGCAGCAGCATTGGAGCTATCGACTCTAACCAGGACTGGTCCGCTAACTTCGCCAACATGCTGGGCTACAGCAACTCTGCTGAGTTCACTGAACTTATGAGGCTCTACCTCACCATCCACAGGTATTGAACTATGGGCCAGTTTCAGATTAAGAATCTCCATTGAAGAATTTCCATTGAAACCAGCCCTAAAGGATGTATATTTTAAGCATAATTACCATTTAAGCGCCTTTGGGTCATTGAAAAGCACTCTATAAAACCCAGGTATTCATATTATTATTATTAACCATTATAAGTCATTGATTTATCTTACTTTTGGGGTGGTAGACATTTTGTCTATTTTGGGCTGTAGCTCATTCCCCTTCCCTTGCCAATAAATTCTGGCATTGCATGATAGAGAATTGTGAAACCCGCAAAGATGAATATTCTCTGCCCCCTAGCGTTTATATGTTGCATTAGAATTATTCTACAATTATTTGGGGATAAGTCTGTATTTGAATATAGCTCTGTATAAATATTTTAGTTAGTAATAATCATGTCAAGTACTATTTTGTGATGAATTACTGTACATTTAAAATGTAAGTGACCCTCTGGGGTTCCTGTTTCAGTGACCATGAGGGAGGCAACGTCAGCGCCCACACAAGTCACCTGGTGGGCAGTGCTCTGTCTGACCCTTACCTCTCCTTCAGTGCTGCTCTGAACGGGCTGGCTGGACCTCTGCATGGGCTGGCCAACCAGGTCTGTGTTAATCCTGTGGATGGACAGATGGATGGACAGAATCAAATAACATTTTATTTGTCACATGTGCCGAATACAACAGGTGTAGACCTTACAGTGAAATGCTTACTTACAAGCCCTTAACCAACAATGCGGTTTTAAGAAAAATAAGTGTTAAGTAAAAAATAGATAACAAAAAATTAAAGAGCTGCAGTAAAATAACAGTAGCGAGGCTATATACAGGGGGTACCGGTACAGAGTCAATGTGCGGGGGGAAAATGCAAATAGTCCGGGTAGCCATTTGATTAGCTGTTCAGGAGTCTTATGGCTTGGGGGTAGAAGCTGTTAAGAAGCCTTTTGGACCTAGACTTGGCGCTCCGGTACCGCTTGCTGAGCGGTAGCAGAGAGAACAGTCTATGACTAGGGTAGCTGGAGTCTTTGACCATTTTTAGGGCCTTCCTTTGACACCGCCTGGTATAGAGGTCCTGGATGGCAGGAAGCTTGGTCCCAGTGATGTACTGCCGTACGCACTACCCTCTGTAGTGCCTTGCGGTCGGATGCCGAGCAGTTGCCATACCAGGCAGTGATGCAACCAGTCGGGATGCTCTCGATGGTGCAGCTGTAGAACTTTTTGAGGATCTGAGGACCCATGCCAAATCTTTTCAGTCTCCTGAGGGGGAATAGGCTTTGTCGTGCCCTCTTCATGACTGTCTTAGTGTGTTTGGACCATGATAGTTTGTTGGTGATGTGGACACGCTCTCAACCTGTTCCACTGCATCCCCGTCGATGAGAATGGGAGCGTGCTCGGTCCTCTTCTTTTTCCTGTAGTCCACAATCATCTCCTTTGTCTTGATGGCGTTGAGGGAGAGGTTGTTATCCTGGCACCACACGGCCAGGTCTCTGACCTCCTCCCTATAAGCTGTCTCATCGTTGTCGGTGATCAGGCCTACCACTGTTGTGTCGTCAGCAAACTTAATGATGGTGTTGGAGTCGTGCCTGGCCATGCAGTCATGGTTGAACAGGGAGTACAGGAGGGGACTGAGCACGCACCCCTGAGGGGCCCCCGTGTTGAGGATCAGCGTGGCAGATGTGTTGTTACCTACCCTTACCACCTGGGGGTGGCCCGCCAGGAAGTCCAGGATCCAGTTGCAGAGGGAGGTGTTTAGTCCCAGGGTCCTTAGCTTAGTGATGAGGTTTGAGGGCACTATGATGTTGAACGCTGAGCTGTAGTCAATGAATAGCATTCTCATGTAGGTGTTCCTTTTGTCCAGGTGGGAAAAGGCAGTGTGGAGTGCAATAGAGATTGCATCATCTGTGGATCTGTTGGGGCGGTATACAAATTGGAGTGGGTCTAGGGTTTCTGGGATAATGGTGTTGATGTGAGCCATGACCAGCCTTTCAAAGAACGATAGTCATGATAGAGTAACTGGCATTTTCTTAACATCATAAGCACAGCAGTCACTGAGAAGCAGAATTATAATTGTGTTTTTGTTTTAGCCTTGCTGAGGTTAACAGTATGTTGCTGATATTTGTTTCTCTGTGTGCCCTGCAGGAGGTGCTGGTGTGGCTGACGGCCCTGCAGAATGAGATGGGAGGGGAGGTGTCTGATGAGAAGATGAGGGATTACATCTGGAACACACTCAAGTCTGGCAGGGTAAGAGCGCATCTGGCTTCACTACTATGACGCATCTTACCCAAAATTCCTTAGTTCTCCAGAATTCTGGGGATCAGGAAGGAATAAGCAGGGAGTTAATCCTCCAACAGGGATTAGGAAGAACACAGGACATTTGGGGGAGGTTTGCAACCTCACACTCTCGCTCTTACACTCGCTCTCTGCCATAGGTGGTGCCAGGCTACGGGCATGCTGTCCTGAGGAAGACTGACCCCAGGTACCAATGCCAGCAGGAGTTTGCCTTCAAGCACCTGCCCAATGACCCCATGTTCAAGCTGGTGCACCAGCTCTACAAGATCGTTCCCCCAGTGCTGCTGGAGCAGGGTAAGGCTAAGAACCCCTGGCCCAACGTAGATGCCCACAGTGGAGTGCTTCTGCAGGTAAGCAGTATTCTTTATTGGGGCATTCTACTCAACAATGTCCTATTGTAATGTTATGTATTGCAATGTAATGCAGATCCATTCTTCGATGGAACTTGAATTTGAAAGTGCATTCTAAATGTATTTTGACGGGTCAGCATTACAATCCAGATGTCCTTCAATTATAAGCATCACAAAACACAGCACCTGTGAGTTTTAGTTTAGTCTTTCAATCATTCCATTTTTGTTGACCCTCTGTAACAAAACATGTTTGACCTCTCCCTGGCCTTTCCCCTGACCTCTCCACCTCTCCTTCTCTACTACAGTACTATGGGATGACAGAGATGAACTACTACACTGTGTTATTCGGCGTGTCCCGAGCCCTGGGAGTGCTGGCCCAGCTGATCTGGAGCCGAGCCCTGGGCTTCCCCCTGGAACGCCCCAAGTCCATGAGCACGGACGGACTCATGACCCTGGTGGGGGCCAACAAGTCCGGCTGAAGAGGAAAGGAAAGGAGAGGGGAGGAAATATCAAATAAAAGCTGACCTCGCCCCCATCCCCATGGAAGAGATTCAAAGAGACAGTACCCTTTTTTGTTTTTTATTTATTTATCAAAAATCAAAAAAAGGGCCTTTTGATATTTACATTATTCAGTGTGAGACTGTTAGGTAGATATTCATAGATATCCTATATTATATATCCACCCTATGCCTCCACATTTGGAAGACAAATAGAGAAGACACAAAACACGTACTCATACACTGAGTGTAAAAAAAAACTTTAAGAACACTTTCCTAATATTAAGTTGCAACCCCCCTTGCCCTCAGAACAGCCTCAATTCATCAGGGCATGGACTCTACAAGGTGTCAAAAGCGTTCCACAGGGATGCTGGCCCATGTTGACTCCAATGCTTCCCACAGTTGTCAAGTTGGCTGAATGTCCTTTGGGGTTGTGGATCATTCTTGAAACACACAGGAAACTGTTGAGCGTGAAAAATCCAGCAGCGTTGCAGTTCTTGACACACTTAAACCAGTGCACCTGGCACCTACTACCATACCCCGTTCAAAGGCACTTAAATATTTTGTTTTGCCCATTCACCCTCTGAATGGGACACATGCACAATCCATGTCTCAATTGTCTAAAGGCTTAAAAATCATTTAACTTGTCTCCTCCCCTTCATCTACACTGATTTGAAGTGAATTTAACAAGTGACATCAATAAGGGATAATAGCTTTCACCTGGTCAGTCTGTCATGGAAAGAGCAGGTGTCCTTAATGTGTTGTACATTCAGTGTATATACACTTCACCTGCCTAGAGATGACAGCTAGTTTAATTTATGTCCAGTGTTTGCTAACCCAATGCTTCTCGTATGCTTGCCAGGCCTGGGTTGCTCAGTCTGTCACTCCACCTCAGTACTACAGAGCTCCCACCAACCTCTGTTCCTGACTCAAGACAATTACAGCACAGTAGGCCAATGCAGTCTGCTAGCATCTCATCAGCTTCCCCCATGTGCCTGGGAAGACTGGGCCACACTAACAGATTGAAGATGTGAAGGGGCATAGAAAGTATCATGGAATCCAAACTCATATGCTCGGTTTTACTATTGTTTCAATCGGAGCATATCTGTTTGGTTTCCAGGCTACAGACCAATGCCTAATGGTCATCAATTGAGATTTCACTTGAGTATTTCTTACATCGATTTAACTTGAGTGGTAGTTTGACATCAAGATTAACCCCTTAGAAAGCAAGCAAAATTAATAAGGAAGCAAGTAACTTTTATTTTGAGTCACATTTTGCTGCTGATAGTTGCTGAAGCTTTGATTGTCTGGAAAGCCTTGCCTAATCTAAGCAAACAGGGAAACATCTTTTTTTGTTGCCGGAAACCCTCACCCCATTTCTCTATACAATTTCCTCCAATGTTACTCTAACCATTTAAATTTCACTCCCAAGAACACTCTAGTAAAGAAAAAGGTCCTTATCTAACTTCCACTGAAGATGTTCAATTTCACCGGAGAAGGATGCAAATCAGGAAAAAAAGGGTACTGCCCCTTTTTAAATATTTTCGTCTTGCCTGATTCCCTGACTTCAATGGATTTAACCTTGAACACACCTCTATGATCAAAATAGGCTTGAACACACCTCTATGATCAAAATAACCTTTTGTTTTTTGTCATTCAATCGTGTTTTACATTCTTACCTTTCAATTTCTGTCTGGGCATCTTTTGTAATGTGGGATTTGTGTGGGTAGGATGTATATGATGGAGCTCTGAATTGTAGCCTGAAGTACCCAAAGGCCTGATTTAATAATAGCATAGACTTGTTATCGTTGAAGGATTGGGAGGACAAGGTCTTCTGATTTTAGTATGTACATGAGTGCAAGCTTGAACATAAGTGTGCAGTCGGGGGGCTGTTTATCTGTTGGGGTCCTCTTATTTTTGTTTATATACTGGGTGGTTCGAGCTCTGAATGCTGATTGGCTGACAGCCGTGGTATATCAGACCGTATACCATGGGTATGACAAAGCATTTATTTTTACTGCTCTAATTACGTTGGTAACCAGTTTATAATAGTAATAAGGCACCTCGGGGGTTTGTGGTATATGCGTTGCGTCGTGCCTAAGAACAGCCCTTGGCCATATACCACACCCCCTCTGGCCTTATTGCTTAAGTATAGCATATGTTACTAATGCCCCAGAAAAGCGCTTCAGTGATCGAGCTACTACTTCAAAATGAGCACTTGCTGATTTAGAATCCCTAATTCTTAGCAATAATAAAACCCCTGTTAGACTTTAGTGTCCTTTTTTGGGTGTTGAATGGATAACCATGTAATGTATAAAGAGAATAATCATTTGTGGTTTTATTTATACTTTATGTAGTTATATATGTATAGCTTGAATGTATGAGCTCTGCGCAAACATTATTGCTCAGTCATACAGCTGTGTGATTCCAACGTCACTCATTACTTTCTGTTTTACGTGTCGTTTTGAAAGTTACTCTTGTAAATAAATCTATTGCCCATTTTATATGGGCTTCTTCTGCTGTTTAGGGGGTGTTTGCTTTGACTGTTTCAAGCTTGCTCTCAGGCCACAGCAGCAGATGTTGGTCGAAGGCCCATAGCAGCGTTACCTGTGCTTGTTATAGGTTTATCAACACTCCATTCTGTGTAGCACCTGTAGGACTTCTCACCCTGCTTTCTGGAACAACTCATTCAATGTCTGTCAAACTTCCCTGACTCCATTCCCCTCAGATTTCTATGCCTTGCTTTTCTCTCTTGACTTTGTTTTTCTGTGTTTTCATTCTTCTTGGTTTGTTTTGTGGAACGTGGTTATTTCTGATCATAGAGGGTCTAAAGGATGTGTGGAACCAGGGAAGATCTATTTAAGTGGGATTCAGTTGGGGGAAGCTATAACGGGATGGGTCAAATAGGTGAAAGGCGCTTACAACAAATGGGAAACCAATAAATGTTTTTATTAACACTTGGTGTCATGTGTTCATGTTTACTCGTGGTGTGAAAAGAGGTTGAAAACTGACAAGGTTATTTCAATAACAAATGGAAACTTGCGAAGTCGCTGGTAATCTATTCCTGGCAGATTGTCCTCCTGTCTCAATGTCCTGGATGAACTGTACATAATAGGATTTGGACTGGCATTTCTAGGCATGGGACTGGCATTGCTAAACTCAGCAAAAAAAGAAACGTCCCTTTTTCAGGACCCTGTCTTTCAAAGATAATTTGTAAAAATCCAAATAACTTCACAGATCTTCATTGTAAAGGGTTTATACACTGTTTCCCATGCTTGTTCAATGAACCATAAACAATTAATGAACATGCACCTGTGGAACGGTCATTAAGACACTAACAGCTTACAGACGGTAGGCAATTAAGGTCACAGTTATGAAAACTTAGGACACTAAAGAGGCCTTTCTACTGACTCTGAAAAACACCTAAACAAAGATGCCCAGGGTCCCTGCTCATCTGCGTGAACGTGCCTTAGGCATGCTGCAAGGAGGCATGAGGACTGCACATGTGGCCAGGGCAATAAATTGCAATGTCCGTACTGTGAGACAGGACGGAGAGCTGATCGTCCTCGCAGTGGCAGACCACGTGTAACAACGCCTGCACAGGATCGGTACATCCAAACATCACACCTGCGGGACAGGTACAGGATGGCAACAACAACTGCTCGTTCTGTGAGTGATTTCCTGCAAGACAGGAATGTCAATGTTCTGCCATGGCCAGCGAAGAGCCTGCATCTCAATCCCATTGAGCACGTCTGGGACCTGTTGAATCGGAGGGTGAGAGCTAGGGCCATTCCCCCCAGAAATGTCTGGGAACTTGCAGGTGCCTTGGTGGAAGATGATTTTGACCCCCCCTTTGTTCAGGGACACATTATTCAATTTCTGTTAGTCACATGTCTGTGGAACTTGTTCAGTTTATGTCTCAGTTGTTGAATCTTGTTATGTTCATACAAATATTTACACATGTTAAGTTTGCTTAAAATAAACGCAGTTGATAGTGAGAGGACGTTTCTTTTTTTTGCTGAATTTAGGTTTTGAAATGGAATGAGAATACCCTTGTGCATGTAAAAAAAAAAAAAAAAAAACACAACCAGCCAGCTTACTGTATGTCAAATATGCCCAGCAGTCCATGTCTCACCTCTGGCTCTCTTGTTTCTGGCTCTGGAGAACTGCAGTCATGAGACCAGACAGAGGATAATGTTACACACTGAAACAACCACTCTCAGCCACTGTTGCATGAGCCTCCACTGCAGTCATAAGGCTCTGCCCAGGCCATGTCTGTTTCTGTATACAGGGCTAGACAGCTGAATCACAAGGAAGTGGGGCTTTGTTTAGTGAACTTTAGTTCATTTCCTACAACAATCAATTTATATTGTTCTGTTTAAGTACAGTATTACCCAACATGGTAGTCTTTCTTTCTTCCCTTGTGATTGAATTTGTATAGGTATGGTGGTGTATGGGAGATTTGTGTAATAATAATAACTGGCAGGTTGTTAACCTCTTAAGGATCGGACCCTTTTTTTCAATTTTCGCCTAAAATGACATACCCAAATCTAACTGCCTGTAGCTCAGGACCTGAAGCAAGGATATGCAGATTCTTGATACCATTTGAAAGGAAACACTTTGAAGTTTGTGGAAATGTGAAATTAATGTAGGAGAATATAACACAGATCTGGTAAAAGATAAAAGATGTTCCATCATCTTTGAAATACAAGAGAAAGACCACAATCTAATATTGCAGTTTAGGCACAATTTAGATTTTGGCCACTAGACAGCAGCAGTGTGTGTGCAAAGTTTCAGATTGATCCAGTGAAGCATTGCAATACTGGACTATTTTGTATCAAGTCTGCCCAAATGTGCCGAATTGGTCAGTTGATACATTTTCAAGTACATAACTATAGAGAACATACAAAAATGGTATGGTAATACAAAATCTAAGTTTACACACTCCCAGGAATGTCATACATGATGGATCATTAGCTTATACACTAACTTTCACACATCTAGATGGCTGGGTGGGGTGGGTGTGGAGCCAGAGACAGCAAGGGTTCAAACTGTAGAACCCAGTTCCTACATTTGAATATAAAAATGGATTTTATCAAACAAAACTATGCTACATTTTATCTCTGGGACCTTCAGGATGACAAATCAGAGCAAGATTACTGAATGTAAGTACATAGTTTACCTTCATTGGTGAATGTATCAAGCCAGTTGCCGTGATAATTTTGTTGTTGTGCACTCTCCTCAAATAGCATGGTATTTTTTCACTGTAACAAGAATTTAAGGTTTCTGCCCATATAAGACATGTCTATGTCCTGGAAAGTTTGCTGTTACTTACAACAGTCATGCTAATCACATTAGCGCACGTTAGCTCAACTGTCCCGTAAACGGGACACCGATCCCGTAGAGGTTAAAGGACCCATCTTCTCTCTGTGCTGTTATTAATAACTGGCCCAGATACCACCACCCTGCTCTGGTTTCCCTTTGAAAAGGCTGCATCCCACCCACCCCAGCACGTCACTTGCCCCCCCCCCCCCCCGCCACCCCACCCCACCCCCACACACTGACTCACACTTTTTCTACACCTGTTGCATTCGGCGCATGTGGCAAATAAAATGTGATTACATTTTTTTCCACTTCAGCTTTCGTGCTTGACACTGCGATGGAAACAACTCAGTAAGGAGTTATGGCAATATGTATTTGGACTACATTGTATGCACGCACATTCCCAATATTCCATTCCATTAATAAGTGTAATTTTGTAGTGAGCAGTGAACAGCTGCTCATGGTCAAAACCAGAATGTAACAACATGCTGAAATTCTAATTGGAGAAAAAAAACAAGTAGAGCACAATAAATATAGGGTTTGTTCTACAACTGATACCATGGCTACAGAAGTGGAAATGCACACACTAAAAACATCTTCACTTAGGTAAAACCAATTTGATCAGCACGCCAAACTCAAACAATATATGCTCATACACTGTTTGGGTCTCAACACCCATCTGTGCATTATTGCTCACTTAGATCTAATTGAAAGAATAAGTAGGCTTAATTAGGAATACTGTAACATGATTCACAATTCCACCTCCATCTTTATTTACAATACACACATCATGCACACAAATACAATTGCCTTATATCAACACACTCATTATGCGCAGCACAAAATCTGGTGGGAAAATCCGACCCGACAGGGAAAATAAAAACCAATGAATACAGCGGTTCTCAGGAAGGCTAGAGGCGCAATATTGTTACTGTTGCATCACACTGGATGACCACTAGCAACTTATTGGTTGCTTTAGAACATAAAAAAAATACAAAAAGGAAGTTGCTTTGAAGTATTGAGACAGTGCTTATGAGTCTTGGGATTCTTGCTTAAGAACAAATGAAGTCTTGAATCTAAAAGACATACACTTAAAATAGCTTCCTATGTTGACCTTTCATGACCCCCGAGAGTAAATTCTACCATCATAGCAAAGAGCAAATACATACCAGTACATTAGACATGATTTGTTAGACTTTGCTGAGCCCTTTCTGTTATTACACATTAATAACTAAAATATAATTTGCATGTCTTCCCATTAAAACGTAGGCAAACCCAACTGAAATACAATTCAAAAGAAAACTTCCTACACAAGTAGCCATATCTTTCCTGCATAAATAACTATTGCACTAAAATAACTTTGTCTTGTTTAATTTCTGAACACGCTAGGCAGCCTGTCTTGACACACACAACCGTCTTGACACACTTTATAGAATTTTCACAGCATATCAACATAAAGCTCATTTTCTCCATATCTACATACAAGCTCAACATTGAACAGACAATTTAAAAAGGTGCCAATTACATTTTATCCATGAAAAATAAAGCACTTGACCAACATTCTCTCTGCACACACCAAAGTGAAGAAAAGCAGTTCACTTGCTAATTTTTAAAATATGAATAGTATATATATAAATTATATACACACACACACTGAGTATACCAGTATCCTCCTCTTCATCTACACTGATTGAAGTGGATTTAACAAGTGACATCAATAAAGGATCATCGCTTTCACCTGGATTCACCTGGTCAGTTTATATCACGGAAAGAGCAAGTGTTCTTAATGTTTTGTATACTCAGTGTATATTTATATCAATAATTTCAAAACAAATACATTTTTTAAAAAGCACTTCTCGGTATAAGCAATACTGTACATTTAAAATATATTTCTAAGTTCAATTCATTTGACATGATTGGACGACTTGAATGTGGCAGGTAAGTGGAGTGCACCTGCATCTATAGACATATTGTATGACAGACTCAAAATGGTCCATGTCATTCGTTGACTCAATATTGTGTCCTGTTCACTCACGATTACACAGCAATAAATTAAATCTATTCCAATTTGTGTAGTGGCTTTTTTGTTTTACAGCTAGATTTGGAAGGATTATTTTATTGAAATTGTGCACAAGCACCAATGCAACAAGGGGCCTGTGCTGAAGAGTAAACCTTGTGAGGAGGTAGATGGCAGCTTTTTACAAGACATGATCCAGGCTAAGATATGGGACTTTCAACTAGTTGTGAAGGGTGATTAGCCAGGCTGATGCCCACACTGATTGCTTGGTCCTTACTCTATGATGTGAGGATGCACTAAGTGGCATCTTAGCCTGGTCTCAGATGGTCCAAGATCTCAGAAGTGCTGTCTCTCACGCCAGTGTGACCATAGGAGTTGGCAAGACAGCACAAACAGTTCTGGGACCAGGCTAATGGCATCTGGGCCTGGGTGGTAATGGAGGCGGTTGGTGGAGGCTGGGTGGTGTAGTGTCATGCAGGTCCAGCTAGGTGATACAGGGGACAGCCAGGGTGAAGGTGCAGGTTGGTTTGGGACAAGGGCACACAATGGCAGAGGGACCTCACGTTTGGTGTACCTCATGGAACATTAACTCCCGTGGGACGCGAGTCTGTGGGCCGTAGAGCGTGCCGGCCCGACGCTCGAAGGCAGACACATTCTTCTTTACCACCTCGTCAAAAAACACAGTTGCTAACTGGGAGTGGAGCAAGGACCGGAACTCAAAGGAGATCTGTGTGGCAGGAAGGAAGGAGAGGGCAGAATGTCAGTCAGAGAAGACATCCAAAAGAGAAAGAAAAAAAGGTCAGTCAGAGGATATGCGCTGTTAAAGGATATAACTTAGTCAGACTATTCACATGCACAAGGTCTATGCACAAATAGAGAGCAAGATTAGAAGAAACTGAGAGGTTTCAGCATGAGATAAATAAAAAGGCAGCAAGCTGGGGCTGTCATATTCACCGAAACGTCCACAGTGCAGGTGCGGGGATAACCAGGGATTCCAGGACTGAAGCGCCATATCGTCTCCAGGTGGTTGAAAAGTGTTCCATCTGTGCACACCGCCTAACACAATTCAATCCGATGAGAAAGGGTTACTTAGATTACTGTATCATCAAACAAACAATGATCATCACGTATCTCATCATAATTCATGAATCCTCAATTAAGCGGGACTAAATAGGATAGCAAAAACCTGGTAACTTTCCCCAAAAATCCCAGGTTTTCCCAAAATTCTGGTTGGAAGATTCCTGGAATAAGCAGGAAATCTGGAAGTTACTGGAATTTTGAAACCCTATTTAAGCAGGAGGAACTTACTTTGACCATGTGGGGTCGCACCACGCTGATCATGGATGTGTATCGCTCTACGATTGGTGGGAACCCCACCTCCAGCTGAGCTTTGGAGTGGCCTGCCCTCTTCATGATGGTCTGGGACTTCTTACACCAGGGGACAAAGAGTTTGTAGTCATCCACGTTGGCTACCACATCATACATCTCCAGCATAGAGTACCTGAAGCGGCATAGCAAAATAAGTTTGAAAACAACATTACATCACTTCCATTTACATTTTGTGTTTCAAATAGGCAAAGCCTTATTTTTTCCTTTAAAATGAAATCTATCCATGACATCTTTCTATCTATGCATTCAAGCTCTCATTCGTGCTTGTACCTACATACAGAAATAGTAAGTCCTACAATATATTTTCTTTCATGTGTGGTAGCATCTTACCCCAGTATCCTCCGCTCTGAGTACTCCTTCCTCTTATTTGTGAACCCCATGAAGGTTCTGCTGTGGGGAACTGATGTCATCGTGTCCCAATTCTGCTGTTGGCAGAGCACTCTAGGAGTCCTAGTCATTACAATACCGCATGATGACAAGTGTCTGATGTGGAAGGGAGAGAAAGAGAGGATCATGTTAAAAATACTGGAGTGTAACATCTCTAACAAACACCCTTTTCCAGACAGGCTTCCTGCCTATATAGTCAGGGCAGAAATAATATATTGCCAGTAGGGGAAAAGGTTGTCAGTAGTGTCCTAACCTTCAATGTCTAGGACAAGCTACTATATTCTGAGTAAACACATGAATGGAACTATATGTAATGCGACCCACTCAGTCAGGTTACATGAGGTGGCTTGCAGAGCTGGCATGTTTCGCTATTGGGGTCCAAATATGCTCACTACAAATAACTGTGTGAGAGTCATAAAATGTTGAATTACAGTCATAGACAAAATTACAGAGAGCACTACTGACAAAGTGAAACCAATATGAAGGATGCCACAATATGCATATACAACAATGGTGACATTGATGGGACTGAAAAGGGAACTTTTTGGCCCTTAATGAAAATGTGATGATTAATAGGAAGAACACAAGAGTTACTAACTGTTTATATGCTCTGAAAAAACGTAATGTTCTTCAGTGTGGAGCTATTTGAACCAGGTGTCTAAGTGCTTGGCTGGAACAAAAACCTGCACCATAGCTGATTCAAAGATATGCACAATGCGCATGCACAACACTGATTGGTTAATTGTGTCACATTAAGTTATCAATTTATTTATCTCACCTGATAGTCTGCCTCATATGTTCTCTTGACCCCGCGGTGTGACAAGGTGAGCGCCCCGAGCCTACAGCAATCTCCAGAAACTCACTGAATGTCCGCACACCCATCGGCATTCGCCGGGCAGTTGCTGAGGCTGCCATTATATTATGGGTTACTTTATCAGAACCTCAGGCAGAATAATGGATCACTGAAACTGGATCTGTAGCCTTCTGTTAAACACTGATTTTAGCCCACTTCGGATTGGCTATTTGAAGCCTTTCCCAATCCTATTTCACGGCATCCATCAACGTCAGAGACGGTGTAGATACGCTTCAGTTCACTTATCCAAGTAGACGCGACCAAAAAGGCCGCGTTTACATAAGTCGTTTATTTATTCCAAGCTCGATGTCCTGGGTCGCTGAGGGTGCATAAATTGCGCGTTCGAGTTTTTCCTCATACCGCTACAACCCTTGAAACGTCGACCTTCTCTGCTTAGTAAAGTAAACACCGGTGTCGGTCAGGCTCATGGCCAGGGACACACTGTTCTGAAACAGAGCAACTGCCCTATCGATGCATTGCTGCCACCAACTGTGTCGGAGGTACTACAATACCAGCCGTCCTGCTCCCAAATCACTTTTCTGGGAGTAAACCATAATTTCTTATATAATAAACGAGTGCCATTTTAAAATGGTGAGATTATTTTAAAAATGCATTTAGTATATAATTGTCATTCCTCTTAAACACAGCGAGGCCCTCGCAGGTCAAAACGTGGGACTGCGCATGTGCACGATAGCAGAACTAACAAACAAACATCCGGCAGAGACGGACAGCAAACACCGACCAAGAACTATCTTACAGATAGCTAGCTATCTACATGGGTTAACTATCGTTTACTATACCTTGCAGTTCCACCCTAATGAAGGAGCTCCGTCCTGGCTGACTTTGGGAGATGGGAGTACACAACATTACAGACCAGGTGAGCTAGCATGCTAGTTAGCTAGCTATCGCGTTAAATGAATAGCCTATTTGGCTGGCTAGTTAGCTAGCTAATCCAGTGTTTTGATTAAATTTTCCTGAAAGTTGACCAGTGCAATAACGTCACTGGTGCAAGTATCTGCAAGCAATGTGTCGTAGGATTGCTAGCTAACGTTAGCTAAACCTCGGCCCGGCCTGATGCGGATTGATGCTGTCTGCAAACTGTTCACTTGACTTAGCTAGATGCGATTTCTTGCTAACCACACAGTCTGACGTTCTCCTGTGCTTATCCGCAGCCTCCACTGGTCCAAGCAGTTTTCAATCGGAATGCCGATGAAATTCAACTACTATTGCACAACAAGAAAGAGGACGTCAATGCACTGGTATGTTTGTGCCAGTGCTAGCTACAGCTCGTGCTAGCTATAGCTCTGGTTTATGGCGTGTTGATATTGTAGCTAGCTACTGTATCGCAACATTTTCCCAGTTAGTTATTACAAGTAGAGGGGTGCCAGGTGGATCCTTTTCCCAGTTCATGTGATGAGGCATAATTATATATCTACAATAATAGTAGAATGTCAACAGAAGGCCTAAATGTAGATCTTTCAGCAATATTTCATCAATATACTTATTGGTGGCTGTCGGTGTAAGAGGGAGATGGATTTTGCATCTTACTATAGATTATTAATTTGTCTTACCTTTTCCCACAGGACCAAGAGCGACGTACCCCGCTACATGCTGCTGCCTGTTTGGGGGATGTTCATATAATCGACCTCCTCATCAATGCAGGTAATTGTGACCAAAATTAACCAACCAACCACTGGCAGCTATGTTCACCAAACAGAACTGCCCACGTCTGACCTCCTGCTGTGTGTGCAATGAAAAGGTGGTTTTGGTCTACTTGCAGTTGTAGTAACACTGTATAGTGTCTGTTCATTGTTCATTAGTCTGACTACAACATGAAAGAAATGACTACTGTACTTGTCATGGCCCTCTAATATTGCACCTTGTTTTGTACACTCATAGGTGCAAATGTAAATGCTAAGGACCATGTGTGGTTAACACCATTGCACAGAGCTGCTGCCTCCCGGAATGAAGTAAGCAGTGCTGATCATCTCTCTAATGTGAAGATTATAAAGCACTGTATCAATGTTTGGTACCATTTTTGGGGTGCTGTCAAGCCCAGTTTGATTCCTTCTCTCTCCAGAGAGCAGTGGGGCTACTTCTGCGGCAGGGAGCTGAGGCCAATGCACGAGACAAGTTCTGGCAGACACCACTGCATGTTGCAGCTGCCAATAGAGCCACGCGCTGTGCAGAGGCCCTGCTCCCCCAGCTGAGCAATCTGAGCATGGCAGACCGCACTGGCAGAACCGCCTTGCACCACGCTGCTCAGAGCGGATACATGGAGGTGAGAGGGGAGGGCTGGAAATACTATGTTTTTACAAACCATTTCAGAGTAGGAGTGTTGATCTAGGATCAGTTCTCCCATCTTATTCATTATAATTTTAAAGGAAAAACTGGTCATAGATCAGCATGCCTACTCTGAGATGCTTTTGTGAATAATGAAAATATTAATATGTAATTTTCACCTTGTCTTTCCGCAGATGGTGAAGTTGCTGCTGAATAAAGGGGCCAACTTGAGGACCAATGATAAGAGAGAGAGACAGCCTATCCACTGGGCAGCGTACTTAGGTGAGTTGGGCTTTGCACTGGGAAAACTCTTAACATGATTTTCTTAGAGTACCGTAAAATCTGAATTTCATAAATTTGGCGTGAATGGCAGGTGATGAAAATATTCAGTGTTTCCCAGTAAGTCCTGTTTTTAAGTTGGATGAACAATATGGATGTACTTCTCACTAGAGGGTGACATTAAAACAGTACTCCTGTGAGACCCACAGGACACACTCCCTCTCTCCCCTTCTCACACACTTCCTCTCCCATGTGTCTTATAGGGCATCTAGAAGTGTTGAAGCTGCTAGTGTCTCGGAGTGCAGACAAGGGCTGCAAGGACAAGCAGGGCTACACCCCTCTCCACGCTGCCGCTGCCAGCGGACACATTGACATAGTCAAGTACCTACTGAGGCTCGGGGCTGAGGTGAGTCAGGTCAAATTGTATTCATTTTACATTTATTTTACCAGGTTAGTCTCATTGAGATTAAACATCTCTTTTGCAAGAGAGACCTGGCCAAAATAGCAATACACAAAGTTTCAAACATTTACAACATCAAACACAAAGCACTACAGTTTTAAAAAACATCAGTTGACACATTGAACAGGCACATTGGTTTTGGGAGGAGTGGTTCAACTAGGGGTCAAAACATTGACACCCGGGGCCTCCCGAGTGGTGCAGCGGTCTAAGGCACTGATCATTGCTAGAGGTGTCACTACAGATCCGGATTCGATCCCGGGCTGTGTCGCAGCCGGCTGCGACCAGGAGACCCATAAGGCGGTGCACAATTGGCCCAGCGTCGTGTGGGTTAGGGGAGGGTTTGGCCGGCTGGGATGTCCTTGTGGCTTCGGTCGCCAGCTGTACAGTGTTTCTTCCGACACATTGGTGCGGCTGGCTTCCGGGTTAAGCGAGCAGTGTGTCAAGAAGCAGTGCGGCTTGACGGGGTCGTGTTTTGGAGGACACATGGCTCTCGACCTTTGCCTCTCCCGAGTCCGCACGGGAGTTGCAGCGATGGGACAAGACTGTAACTACCAATTTGATATCACGAAAAAGGGGTAAAAAATAAAAAGCCATTGACAGCCGGCCAATTCATTTTCCACCGAAGATTTTACTATGGCTTTAAAATGATTCAAGGAGATGAGCTCCTGTAGTTTCAAGTCCTTTTGTAGCTTGTTCCAAGTAGAGGAGGCAAAGTACTGGAATGCTTTTTTACCTAGCTCTGTACGGGCCTTAGGCACCGTCAAGGAGATACAGTTCTGTGTGCGTAGGCGATATTTGTCATTAGTCAGCTGCGTGTACACCGGTAAAATGTGAGCTGTCTCAAAATGGCCTTATGGGTAAATGGATGCTCAAGATAGCCATAGGAAGTAATATTAATTGAGAGTTCTAGTCTGACCATTACCAGAAGAGACAGAGGATTATCTTTGATTACAATTAAATTCTCTCCTTTTTTAAATTTTTTTTATATTTGTTGCTTAGCTATCTCCTCATGTCTTGTGTGATCTTGCACTCTTTCAGCTGGATGAGCCAAATGCCTTTGGGAACACTGCGCTGCATGTGGCCTGCTACACAGGCCAAGAGGCTGTGGCCAACGAGCTGGTGAACCACGGAGCTAACGTCAACCAGCCCAACAGGAGTGGCTATACCCCACTGCACCTGGCCGCTGTGTCCACCAACGGGGCCCTCTGCCTGGAGCTGCTGGTCAACAACGGGGCCGACGTCAACCAGCAGGTCTGGGCCCGTATTCAGAAAGCGTCAATGAGTAGAAATACTGATCTAGGATCAGGTCCCCGCCTGTCTATGTAAACCTATTCATTATGATCTAAAATGCAAAACTGATCCTAGATCAGCACCTCTACTCTGAGACAGCCTTACATGTTGTTTAATGGGTGGCGATGGGAGGATTTATCTGTTCTCTGCCAGACTAGTTACTTAGTTTGCCATCTTTCTCTTCTCCCTTCTCCAGAGTAATGCAGGGAAGAGCCCCCTGCACATGGCAGCCATTCACGGACGCTTCACCCGCTCTCAGATCCTCATCCAAAACGGTAACCATGACAACCCATCTGACTGAATGACGTGTTAGGATGCTTTATACAAGTCCTGTCCCACTGGTTCTCTGATTTAATGTTTCTTGTTTGTTTGTTGTTAGGTGGAGAGATTGACAGTGTGGATAAATATGGCAATACCCCCCTCCATGTTGCTGCTAAGTACGGCCATGAACTACTGATCAGCACACTGATGACCAACGGTGCAGATACAGCCAGACAAGGGATTCATGGGATGTTCCCGCTGCACCTGGCTGTGCTCTATGGGTTTTCAGACTGTTGTCGTAAGCTACTCTCCTCAGGTTGGTACTTATATACATTATATTATTCATTCAAACACGCATCTGTTGGATTCTGTTTCACAATGCCTATACACTGGAGGAGCTGTGTCTTTAGTGTCAGAATGTAGTGTCTTGTATGTTATCTGTGTTTGATTGATCAGTCCTGGTTGCCTCTTCCTCTCCCCTCAGGTCAGCTGTACAGTATTGTTTCATCCATGAGTAAGGAGCACGTACTATCAGCCGGGTTTGACATAAACACTCCAGACAACTTTGGAAGGACCTGTCTACACGCTGCTGCTTCTGGAGGGTAAGACACAGAATCACACTCCAAAACTGGACCTACTCTGAACTATTGTATTGGATAATTCTCATCATGTTATTCCTCACTTCTCCGCTTCTGACAGAAACGTTGAATGTCTGAACTTGCTCTTAAGCAGTGGTACCGACTTGAATCAGAGGGACCAATCGGGAAGGTGCGTTTTTGCCACTGATTAATTTCTTTGTCTGTGTTTGTACTCAACCTGGTGTGGGTACGAGATAATAATGTTCTGTGGAATAGTCAGTGATTTGAGATTGCTGGGGTACTGTAAAAGCTCTTTGTGACAACGGCTAATGTAAAAAGTGCTTTATGAATACATTTGATTGATTTAATGCACTGATTATTAGGTGGGCCTTCTCTCTCTGTCTCTCAGGACTCCGTTGCACTATGCAGCTGCTAATGGGAGGTACCAATGCACTGTGACCCTAGTGAGTGCTGGTGCTGAGGTCAACGAGCCAGACCATACAGGTTGCACTCCCCTACACTACTCTGCTGCCTCCCAGGCCTTCTGCAGGTAGGAACTCACACACACACTCCATCCACAAATACACCAAGACGCTTTCAGGAAACATAGCTACGTGTTGAATTAGTGAATAAATGTGTTCATTCTGCACTTCCAGAATGGACCGACATTTCCCCGGGACTCTTCAGAGCGAGGAGGATGGAGATAAGGAGTCCTATTTGTTAGTTTACTGTCTGCAACCATTATTCTGTATAGTTTTTATTTTTTACATTTCTACTGATTTAAAGATCTGCTTAAAGGACTCAAAAGATGTTGTTAATTTCATGACCACTACTTGACTGTTGCTTTTGTTTGTCTTTGTTGCTAGTTGCTTGGAGCATCTGTTGGACAACGGTGCAGACCCATCCCTGGTCAACTCTAAAGGTTACAGTGCTGTTCACTATGCTGCTTCCCACGGCAACAAGCAGAACCTGGAACTGGTGAGTCCTTCTGTTTGTTCAGTACCTTGCATAGCTACAGCCATTTAGGTCAATTGTTTTTCATCATGGCTTTGCTGTATCTGTGGATAGTAATACATCAAGAATCTGTCCCTTTAGCTCCTGGAAATGTCGTTTAATGCATTGGGAGACATTGAGAGCAGTATTCCAGTGAGTCCGTTGCATTTAGCTGTAAGTGCTTTTCATTCCTAAAATCCTCTCTGTTACTTCTTAGCTTGAGACAATGAGTGTGTGTTTCCTATAGAGAAGATGCCATGTTCATATAGAGCAGCCAAAAACATGACTGTTTCCTGTCGTATCCCATCTCCTCTCCCCCTCAGGCTGATAATGGCCACTGGCAGGCATTGAGTGTGCTGACGGAGACTGCTGCATACGTAGATGTACAGGATGCCTCGGGCCGCTCTGTGCTCTACTTGGCTTCCCAGAGAGGTTACGTCCGCTGTGTAGAGGTCCTGCTGGCCCAGGGGGCCTCCTGCCTCCTCAATGAGAACAGCCACATGTGGACCCCTCTACACGTCGCAGGTACGGATCACTTCATGGTTCTTTACCCCCCCTTCCCAAAGAACCAGATGTGGGTTCAAATGAATTAGTTTCAAGTTTATTTGCCATGTGTAATGAATACATGCAAGCATGTGTCCCTGTGTATGTTCGATATTGTCTGTTTTAGCAAGTATGTAATAGCTTAGAAACAAAGCAGTCAGGGTTGAATGTGTAATGAAATTATATTTGTTTCATATCAGCTGCCAACGGCCACACGGAATGTCTGCACATGCTGGTGGACAGCGGGGAGGAGGCAGACCTTACCAACATCACAGACACACAGGGACAGTGAGTAGTCTCTCTCTTTCTGGCTGCCTGCCAGGAAACGTTGTTGTTGTAATGTCAATGATTGTGTTATTTACTTTTAGTAACTCCATATACAGTTGAAGTCCTCTGTAGCTCAGTTGGTAGAGCACGGCGCTTGTAACGCCAAGGTAGTGGGTTCGATCACCGGAACCACCCATACACAAAAAAAATTAATGAATGCACGCATGACTGTAAGTCGCTTTGGATAAAAGCGTCTGCTAAATGGCATATTATTATTAGTCGGAAGTTTACATTCACCTTGGCCAAATACATTTAAACTCAGTTTTTCACAATTCCTGACATTTTAATCCTAGTAAAATTCCCTGTCTTAGGTCAGTTAGGATCACCACTTTATTTTAAGAATGTGAAATGTCAGAATAATAGTATAATTATTTATTTCTGCTTTTATTTCTTTCATCACATTCCCAGTGGGTCAGAAGTTTACATACACTCAATTAGTATTTGGTAGCATTGCCTTTAAATTGTTTAACTTGGGTCAAACGTTTCGGGTAGCCTTCCACAAGCTTCCCACAGTAAGTTGGGTGAATTTTGGCCCATTCCTCCTGACAGAGCTGGTGTAACTGAGTCAGGTTTGTAGGCCTCCTTGCTCTCACACGCTTTTTCAGTTCTGCCCACACATTTTCTATAGGATTGAGGTCAGGGCTTTGTGATGGCCACTCCAATACCTTGACTTTGTTGTCCCTACCACAACTTTGGAAGTACCCTGAATCTTTTCTACAACACCCGGAAATCTGCCCCCTTTATTCAATGTACCCAACGCACTAGAAGACCAGTTCTTAAAGCCTTTAGCCGTATCCTTATTCTAGTCCTCCTCTGTTCCTCTGGTGATGTAGAGGCTAACCCAGGCCCTGCAGCCCTCAGTATCACTCCTACTCCCCAGGCGCTATCATTTGCTGACTTCTGTAATCGCAAAAGTCTTGGTTTCTTGCACGTAAACATCAGAAGTCTACTTCCTAAGTTTGAGTTATTCACTGCGTTAGCACACTCCGCCAACCCTGATGTTCTAGCAGTGTCTGAATCCTGGCTCAGGAAGGCCACCAAAAATTCTGAAATTTCCATCCCCAACTATAACATTTTCCGTCTAGATAGAACTGCCAAAGGGGGTGGAGTTGCAATCTACTGTAGAGATAGCATGCAGAGCTCTATCATACTATCCAGGTCTGTGCCCAAACAGTTTGAGCTTCTACTTCTAAAAATCCACCTTTCCAGAAATAAGTCTCTCACTGTTGCCGCTTGCTACAGACCCCCCTCAGCCCCCAGATGTGCCCTGGACACCATATGTGAATTGATTGCCCCCCATTTATCCTCAGAGTTCGTACTGCTTGGTGACCTAAATTGGGATATGCTTAATACCCCAGCCATCCTACAATCCAAACTAGATGCCCTCAACCTCACGCAAATTATCAACGAACCTACCAGGTACAACCCTAAATCCGTAAACATGGGTACCCTCATAGATATCATCCTGACTAACAAATACACCTCAGCTGTCTTCAACCAGGATCTCAGCGATCACTGCCTTATTGCCTGCGTCCGTAACGGGTCCGCGGTCAAACGACCACCCCTCATCACTGTCAAACGCTCCCTAAAACACTTTAGCGAGCAGGCCTTCCTAATTGACCTGGCCCAGGTATCCTGGATGGATATAGATCTCATTCCGTCAGTAGAGGATGCCTGGTTGTTCCTTAAAAGTAATTTCCTCTCAATCTTAAATAAACATGCCCCATTCAAAAAATACAGAACTAAGAACCGATATAGCCCCTGGTTCTCCTCAGACTTGACTGCCCTTGACCAGCACAAAAACATCCTGTGGCGTACTGCATTAGCATCAAATAGCCCCCGCGATATGCAACTTTTCAGGGAAGTTAGGAACCAATATACACAAGCAGTCAGGAAAGCAAAGGCAAACTTTTTCAAACACAAATTTGCATCCTGTAGCACTAACTCCAAAAAGTTTTGGGACACTGTAAAGTCCATGGAGAATAAGAGCACTTCCTCCCAGTTGCCCACTGCACTGAGGCTAGGAAACACTATCACCACCGATAAATCTACAATAATCGAGAATTTCAACAAGCATTTTGCTACAGCTGGCCATGCTTTCCATCTGGCTACCACTACCCCGGCCACCAACTCTGCACCCTCCGCTGAAACTTGCCCATGCCCCCCCCCGCTTCTCCTTCACACAAATTCAGACAGCTGACGTTTTGAAAGAGCTGCAAAATCTGGACCCCTACAAATCAGCTGGGCTAGACAATCTGGACCCTTTCTTTCTAAAACTAGCCGCCGAAATTGTCGCAACCCCTATTACTAGTCTGTTCAACCTCTCTTTCATAACGTCTGAGATCCCCAGAGATTGGAAAGCTGCCGCGGTCATCCCCCTCTTCAAAGGGGGTGACACTCTAGATCCAAACTGCTACAGACCTATATCCATCCTGCCCTGCCTTTCGAAAGTATTTGAAAGCCAAGTTAACAAACAGATCACCGACCATTTCGAATACCACCGTACCTTCTCCGCTATGCAATCCGGTTTCCGAGCTGGTCATGGGTGCACTTCAGCCACGCTCAAGGTCCTAAACGATATTATAACCGCGATTGATAATAGACAGTACTGTGCAGCCGTCTTCATCGACCTGGCCAAGGCTTTCGACTCTGTCAACCACCGCATTCTTATTGGCAGACTAAATAGCCTTGGTTTCTCAAATGACTGCCTTGCCTGGTTCACCAACTACTTCTCAGATAGAGTTCAGTGTGTCAAATCGGAGGGCCTGTTGTCTGGACCTATGGCAGTCTCTATGGGGGTGCCACAGGGTTCAATTCTTGGGCCGACACTTTTCTCTGTGTATATCAATGATGTCGCTCTTGCTGCTGGTGACTCTCAGATCCACCTCTACGCAGACGACACCATTTTGTATACATCTGGCCCTTCATTGGACACTGTATTAACAAACCTCCAAACGAGCTTCAATGCCATACAACACTCCTTCAGGAGCCTCCAACTGCTCTTAAACACTAGTAAAACTAAATGCATGCTTTTCAATCGAACGCTGCTGGCACCCGCCCACCCGACTAGAATCACCACTCTTGACGGGTCTGACCTAGAGTATGTGGACAACTACAAATACCTAGGTGTCTGGTTAGACTGTAAACTCTCCTTCCAGACTCACATAAAGAATCTCCAATCCAAAGTTAAATCTAGAATCGGCTTCCTATTTCGCAACAAAGCCTCCTTCACTCATGCTGCCAAACATGCCCTCGTAAAACTGACTATCCTACCGATCCTTGACTTCGGCGATGTCATTTACAAAATAGCCTCCAACACTCTACTCAGCAAATTGGATGTAGTCTATCACATTGCCATCCGTTTTGTCTCCAAAGCCCCATACGCTACCCACCACTGTGACCTGTATGCTCTTGTTGGCTGGTCCTCACTACATGTTCGTCGTCAAACCCACTGGCTCCAGGCCATCTATAAATCACTGCTAGGCAAATCCCCGCCTTATTTTAGCTCATTGGTCACCATAGCAGCACCCACCCGTAGTCTGCGCTCCAGCAGGTATATCTCACTGGTCATTCCCAAAGCCAACACCTCCTTTGGCCGCCTTTCCTTCCAGTTCTCTGCTGCCAATGACTGGAACGAATTGCAAAAATCTCTGAAGCTGGAGACTCTTATCTCCCTCACTAACTTTAAGCATCAGTTGTCAGAGCACCTTACCGATCACTGCACCTGTACACAGCCCATCTGAAATTAGCCCACCCAACTACCTCATCCCTATATTGTTATTTATTTTGCTCTTTTGCACCCCAGTATCTCTATTTGCACATCATCTCTTGCACATCTAGCATTCCAGTGTTAATACTATTGTAATTATTTTGCACTATAGCCTATTTATTGCCTTACCTCCATAACTTGCTACATTTGCACACACTGTATATATATTTTCTGTTGTATTTTTGACTTTATGTTTTTTACCCCATCTGTAACTCTGTGTTGTTTTTATCGCACTGCTTTGCTTTATCTTGGCCAGGTCGCAGTTGTAAATGAGAACTTGTTCTCAACTGGCTTACCTGGTTAAATAAAGGTGAAATAAAATAAAAATGTTTGGGGTCCATTGTCCATTTGGAAGACCATTTGCAACCAAGCTTTAACTTCCTAAGTAATATATTGAGATGTTGCTTCAATATATCCACATAATTTTCCTTCCTCATGATGCCATCTATTTTGTGAAGTGCACCAGTCCCTCCTGCAGCAAAGCACCCCCACAGCATGATGCTGCCACCCCCGTGCTTCACGGTTGGGATGGTGTTCTTCGGCTTGCAAGCAACCCCCTTTTTCCTCCAAACATAACGATGGTCATTATGGCAAACAGTTCTATTTTTGTTTCATCAGACCAGAGGACATTTCTCCAAAAAGTACGATCTTTGTCCCCATGTGCAGTTGCAAACCGTAGTCTGGCATTTTTATGGCGGTTTTGGAGCAGTGGCTTCTTCCTTGCTGAGCGGCCTTTCAGGTTATGTCGATATAGGACTTGTTTTACTGTGGATATAGATACTTTTGTACCTGTTTCCTCCTTGTTCTGGGATTGATTTGCACTTTTCGCACCAAAGTACCTTAATCTCTAGGAGACAGAACGCGTTTCCTTCCTGAGCTGTATGACGGCTGCGTGGTCCCATGGTGTTTATACTTGCGTACTATTGTTTGTACAGATGAACGTGGTACCTTCAGGCGTTTGGAAATTGCTCCCAAAGATGAACCAGACTTGTGGAGGTCTACAAATTTGTTTCTGAGGTCTTGGCTGATTTCTTTTGATTTTCCCATGATGTCAAGCAAAGAGGCACTGAGTTTGAAGGTTGGCCTTGAAATACATCCACAGATACACCTCCAATTGACTCAAATGATGTCAATTAGCCTATCAGAAGCTTCTAAAGCATGACATCATTTTCTGGAATTTTCCAAGCTGTTTAAAGGCACCGTCAACTTATTGTATGTAAACTTCTGACTCACTGGAATTGTGATACAGTGAAATAATCTGTCTGTAAACAATTGTTGGAATAATTACTTGTGTCATGCACAAAGTAGATGTCCTAACCGACTTGCCAAAACTATAGTTTGTTAACAAGACATTTGTGGAGTGGTTGAAAAACGAGTTTTAATGACTCCAACCTAAGTGTATGTAAACTTCCGACTTCAACTGTAGATACAGTGTCAGGAATACAGTTTAGGCTGTTTACTGAAGATTTACAGAATCACACTGTCTGCTAGAAAGCATTGTTGTTGACGTTGTTATGTAAATGACTGTGTGGTCCTCCATATCTTCCTCCTCAGGACTCCTCTGATGCTGGCCGTTCTAGGTGGCCATACAGACTGTGTCCACCTGCTGTTGGAGAAGGGGGCCTGGCCTGACGCCAAGGACAAGAGGGGCAGCACTGCCCTGCACAGAGGGGTGAGCTACACTCCTGGAGGCTTTTCACACTACTGAGCTGAGCAGGACTTAGTGAAACTGTCCTGTGAAAAAGGTCATATTGTAGAGCTCTAGACCTAGCCTGCCTGGTTGTTATGTGATACAGAGGAACACTGCAACATTAGTTTAAAATGTATATTAAAGCACTGTAAAAGTTGATGAAATATAGCTGTGTAACTCTTTGGTCCCTGTCCCGTAGGCGGTGGTGGGCCGTGAGGACTGTGTGACGGCCCTGCTGGATCACGAGGCATCTGCCCTGTGTCGGGACGGCCAGGGTCGTACCCCCCTGCACTACGCTGCCTCCCGCCGCTATACTGACATCCTCGCCAGTCTGCTGCGTGCCGCCACTCGCTCCGATCCTCTGGACTCCCTATTGGACCACGATGAGTACACACCGTCTCACTGGGCCGCCTACCAAGGTCTGCATGGTTATTGGTTACATCCCAAAACACCCTCTTTCAATAAGGGTGTATATTTAAATGTATAAATGAAATGTGGGGGGGGAAACAGTTTCTGTTTTGTAGTGTGACTGTTCGTAATTCAAATGAAATCGCTATGTACATTTGAAACACACTTTTTTCTTCCTCCTATCAGGGCATGAAGGCTGTTTGGAGGTTTTACTTGAACACAAAACATGTAGTAGCCAGGAGGGAAACTCCTTTACCCCGTTGCACTGTGCTCTGTGAGTATTCTCTAATCAATGTTTTAAACATTATAATACATTATTAGGGCAATGTCTGTAAAACAGTGTTTGGGAAAGGATCAGTAATGATGGGTTCTATAAACGGGTTGGTTGTTTAGCAACAAAACTGACGCGTGCTAAACTACAGGGTTGGCTTAGACTGTTGACAACATGTAAACTATATTTAGTCTTCAAATGTTTATTGAAAACAAATACATTTGCACAATGAGCACTTGTTGTCTCTCAAATACATCGTTACAGTTGTCGGTTAGCTAGCTAGCGAAATTTAGCCATATTAGCATAGACATCAGTCAAAACGCCTCAAGACATGGTAGCAATAACGATACAATGAGCTGAAACGAGCCACCTACGATTCCCTACAGGGCAGCTTCTTGTCATTGTTGCTAGCTATCTGACCGTTCGGAATCCAGCCACATCGATGCACGCTTATCATTTTCATGGCGTTATCAGCCAACCCGTCTGTGGTCATGTTTCCTATGAGTTGGTAGTGACCTTTGATGTGTGATGTTACAGAATGAATGGCCGTAGTGCAGCTGCAGAGATGCTGTTGGAATCTGCTGGTGTACAGATGGTTAACACCAGGGATACTAAAGGAAGGTAAGTTAATTGAGAGCAAGGTGTCATTACCTTACTAGATGTTTACTTGGGTATCTCCCGTTTCATTGGTATGTCTTCTGAGCTGTACCTCTGCACTCAGTGTGGCTCCAGTTTTAACTCCTGTTTCATTGTCATGCGAGACTGAGCTTTCCAAGATTGGGCTGCCTCTCTCTTTGCCTATAGGACCCCTCTTCACGCCGCAGCATGTGCCGAGGACGTGGCGGGGCTGCAGCTGGTCCTACGCCACGGAGCTGAGATCAACGCCGTGGACCACACCGGACGCTCTGCTCTCATGGTCGCCGCCGACAACGGACAGAGTGGCACTGTGGGTAAGTCTACAGAGCACCTTTTCGTTGATGTTTTGCAAAAGGATAGAGTTAAACAGGTTCTCCCTCATCTAAGCCTATGAAGAAGAATGAACTAACACTTGATTGGAGGGAATTCATTATGTGTTGGGTAGAGCTGTAAAGATGAATCCTGTGTCATTTATCTCTTGGTTCTTCCCTGGTGTTTCCAGCCATCCTCCTGCACCGGGCCAAGGCTGACCTGACACTGCTGGACGACAATGGAAATACTGCCCTGCATCTGGCCTGCAGCAAGGTAAGCACTCCTCACAATATCATCAGAGCTCAGAAAGAAATGGAGTGTAATAACACAACATTCAAGCTTTGACTATTCAGCACCTCTGACTGGAGATTAAGGAAGTGCATGTATTGATGATGATGGTTGACGTAAGCATGTTTCTATATTTGTCTCGCAGGCTCATGAGATGTGTGCCCTGCTGATTCTGGGGGAGATCCATAACGCTACCCTCGTCAATGCAACCAACGCTGCACTGCAAATGCCCCTGCATCTAGCAGCACGCAACGGTCTGGCCACCGTGGTCCAGGCACTGCTGAGTCGAGGAGCCACAGTACTGGCAGTGGATGAGGAGGGTAAGGAGAGACACTATTCCACCTTTCTCCAAACCTCATCTTCATTTTAACATCTTAAAGTCCTAATGCTATGGGCTTTCTAATTTATTTCTGATTGTTACTTACTTAGGCATTTTTCTCCTCCTTGAGCATAGGAGACAACAGCTTTCTAGTGTATCTGGTCTGATGGTGTTTCTGTTGTTGACCAGGCCACACTCCAGCCCTGGCCTGCGCCCCCAACAAGGATGTGGCTGACTGCCTGGCTCTGATCCTCTCTACCATGAAGCCTTTCCCTCCTCTGGACTCTTCCTCCTGCTCCTCTTCCTCATGCCCCTCTTCCTCCTGCTCCTCCGTCTCTGTCTCCTCCTCCATCTCCCCCGGTCTCAACCTACTGAAGCACTGCGGCATCACCGCTGCCTGCACGCCCCTGCCCAACGGAGGCCTCCACCATCACCACGGCTAAGTCAAAGACCGCCATGGCGCCGCCGTCAGCCTGGCCGGGTGCCTTTCTGAGTGAGGTCATCCTACACCTACAATCTGACACCACTACTACCACCACCACAGGGTGACTCCCTTGAGTGCACCCACCTACATGCCTGTGTGTGTGTGTGTGTGTGTGTGTGTGTGTGTGTGTGTGTGCACGTGCGTTTGTGTGTTTGTGTGGTCTTCTCCTGAAGTGCAGTCAAACCTATATGCAAATAGAGCTCACAGCATCTATCTATCCCAGCTCTGTAGTAGTTAGTGCTTAACACAGAGAGACTGATCTCTCTTTCTGTAAGGTCACTGGAATGCTGCTGTTTGTCCCAAAATGGTTGCTAATAACCAACCACAACATCCCTAAATAATCAATCCCTTTAAAAAATGTCCCGCAAATAGGTACTTGTAGGTACTTGTTAGCACAGAAAAATGACTGACAGCTGTTTGAGTTTATTTGTAGTCTCTTGTTTAGTCACTTTTCTCATATCATTCAGTATTTAATATTATATCGGAAACTAGGACTAGTAGTGGTGGCCTTGTATAGGAATGCACAGCCTTCCCCAAAGGAGAATGATCAAACGGGTAAAATAGGGTTGAGGACTTGATGAAGGAACCATACAGAAGAAAGTCCTGCCCAAGAGTGCAATGCTAAAATATATCTATTCTGACTTTTTCAAAAATGATTATAATATGTACCTTCTGTAGTAGCCTATATTTAAACTTTTAGCCTAAAATAGTTTGGCATTTTCATAGAGCTGCTAAAGTTAGAAAAATGTAAATGTAAGCATGTCTCCTTGCAAAGGAGTACAATGCTCGGGTTGGCATTTTAGCATCAATTTATTCTCAATGCTGAAGGATTGTCTACAACACAGTTTTGTGTTTACTAAGCTAGAATGTGGTTCAAAGCATATCAGTTATGACCAAAGGTGATCATCACTACTATGGCAAAACAACAATATTTATTTGAGATGTACTGTATAGAGAAAGACGTTAGATCGATCTTGAGATACCTCGATAAATAATTGTGCAGCTGCTGAACGACTAGACAGGGAGAGTATTAGCAATGATGCCTTGGTAATTTAGGTGAAGTCTTTGGGAGCGGGCTCGCCCCTTTGCACCTCAGTGAAGCCTCTTGTATTCTGAGATTACTGCTCAGTCATTTTACAAGCCATTTCAATTTATTTCTCACGTTTTTTCTTATATCATTCTCAAAAGGCTTTGGTACATTGAATTAGAATGACCTTCAGAGAGGAATCGAAATGGTGTTATTTCCCAAAATGCAGCCTAGGTCAATCTGAAATTGAATTTATATTGAACAAAAATATAAATGCAACATGAAACAATTTCAAAGATTTTACTGACTTACAGTTCATATATGGAAATCCGTCAATTTAAATTAATTAATTAGGCCCTGATCTATGGATTTCATGACTGGGAGCACAGATATGCATCTGTTGGTCACAGATACCTTTAAAAAAAAGTAGGGGCGTGGATCAGAAAACCAGTCAGTATCTGGTGTGACCACCATTTGCCTCATGCAGTGCAACACATCTCCTTTGCATAGAATTGGACAGGCTGTTGATTGTGGCCTGTGGAATGTTGTCCCACTCCTCTTCAATGGCTGTGCGAAGTTGCTGGATATTGGCGGGAACTGTTCAATGGGTGACATGTCTAGTGAGTATGCAGGTCATGGAAGAACTGGGACATTTTCAGCTTCCAGGAATTGTGTACAGATCCTTGCGACATGGGGCTGTGCATTATCATGCTGAAACATGAGGTGATGGCAGCGGATGAATGGCACCACAATGGGCCTCAGGATCTCGTCATGGTATCTCTGTGCATTCAAATTGCCTTCGATAAAATGCAATCGTGTTCGTTGTCCGTAGCTTATGCCTGCCCATACCATAACCCCACGCCACCATGGGGCACTCTGTTCACAACGTTGACATCAACGTCTGGTCTCAGACGGTCCCGCAGGTAAAGAACCCAGATGTGGAGGTCCTGTGCTGGGATGGTTACACGTGGCCTGCAGTTGTGTGGCCGGTTGGATTTACTGCCAAATTCTCTAAAACAATGTTTCTAGGCGGCTTATGGTAGAGAAATGAACATTAAAGTCTCTGGTAACAGCTCTGGTGGACCATTCCTGCAGTCAGCATGCTAATTGCACGCTCCCTCAACATCTGTGACATTGTGTTGTGTGACACAACTGCACATTTTCGAGTGGCCTTTTATTGTCACCAACACAAGGTGCACCTGTGTAATGATCATGCTGTTTAATCAGCTTCTTGATATGCCACATCGGTCAGGTGGATGCATTGTCTTGGCAAAGGAGAAATGCCCACTAACAGGGATGTAAACAAATTTGTGCACAAAATTTGAGAGAAATAAGCTTTTTGTGTGTATGGAACATTTCAGGGATCTTTTATTTCAGCTCATGAAACATGGGACCAACACTTTACATGTTGCGTTAATATTTTTGTTCAGTGTTCTTAAGAAATTAAGAGATGGAGCAATACCACTGTTCCTCTCTATCGAAAAGCCTGTATCTTGACTAGTACAATGGTCAGTTCTGGTATGAGATTGAAATGCTCTTCTCTTTTCGTTTTTGTATAATTTAAGCAATATTTACTTTCTGGCATTTGAACGTTATTGACAAGACAATCATAGTCTCAAGGGCTTTTGTTTCCTTGGTAATCTTGTTTGCTGTTCTGAAACTAGGCCTAGCTACATGGACATTATCTATTCTAGACTAATGGTTGTAGTCGGTGTGTCCACTGCATTTTTCCCTGTGCCAAGAAAACATGTAAATTGATTGCCACCATGGCATCTCATTAAATACCTTTAGAACCATATGACATCTTGGCAGTATGAATGCAGGATGGCATAATATGACGAACCCTAGGGTCTCACCCACTTGGTAGCAGAGATGCATTTGATCCTAGTAGTCAGACCTGTGCATCTGGTAAGGAGAGGATTCCTTGGTTGGGCGTGATTGTTCATGTCTCCGGACAGATGTCAGGACTGGCTAGAGATAATTGAAAGCCTGGTAGGTAGTAAAGCCAAAAAGTGTAATTCCTTTTTGCTATGTGGTATTCCTTTTGTTACGCGTGTATCTTGTCTGGTCGTACTACATACATTGTATCAGACTACTGGAGCTCATTGCCTGACTTAATTGAAATATTTTATACACTACCATTTCTATTACATCATCAGAGGACGGTTACATTTCACAGATTCTAGACTAATTTACATATTTATTTAATGTTTCACCACAACATCTCTTGATGATGGAAAATGACATGCCTTAGTTCTGGATGAGAATGATGAGGACCTAATACCATGATGATAATGGAGTAACAAGTCATGTTATCATGTTGTGCCCAACAGTCTGTGTTGTCTGGGGTAGAGGAGGAACAAAGGGAGTGTATCGTCTTTGGTGTCATTATGTGTAAAGGGGTAATAGTCTCAGGCTGTGTGGAAGCAGGAAGCAAATCACATGGATTGATAACAAACAGGCAAGTCATATTGACATAATTCTGTTATATGCATACAGTTATTCATTCAGCCCTGATCCAAGGCACTTATTGAGATAGTTAAGCTCTTTAACACGTTCAGTGTCTTTGTGTGCGTAGTCACTCTGAATACATGCATACCTATGTATATTTACATGCATATGTGTTGTAGCTACATGAGAAGTCTGCTTTGTGGGAGAGAAGAGGTGCAAAACAGGCCATGGCAAAGGTTGCAAGGTATGTATACTGTTGCTTCATTGACAGAGATTTAACTTAACTCTAAAGCTGAAAAACTCTCAGGGTCCAAATTGGTCAGTCCACACAACATGGTCCAAAATCCAGTTATCACAATGCGGTTTGATCGATGCCAGTCCAGGGTCCGCTACTAGTCCTTATTGTTAGTCCAGTGATTTAGTTAGGCTTGCTTTCACCATGCTTGCATCCTCCTCCCATAACTCCACATTGAACAACAGATGTATGTTGTACAACAGAGACACTGATTACCTCAATCATCCAACCACAGGTGTGTCTGGCTAGCAGGTCAGATAAATTGTTTTCTTCTTGCAATGCCCTTGTCCAGCAGATGGCACCAGTTCTTCAGCATATATCCCATCTGGAACTCTATCCATAGCTGTGTTCAATTGCTAGACAGATAACTCACTGTAAAGGAGCTTGAGATCATAATTCTGACTTTAAAGAAACAAGTAAATGGGACATTTCTCTAGGGTTCAATATTAGGAAGCAATGAGAGAATAATTTGTAGCAATAAAGAGCGCATGAGCAACGTGTGCAGCACAAATATTGCACTGCCTTCTACTGTATTTAGGCCAATCCAACAAAGCATTTCATACATTTTACATTTTAGTCATTTAGCAGACGCTCTTATCCGGAGCGACTTACAACTGACACATGCCAACTGAAGATTTGCGTGAGTCGTTGTGAAAATCTTAGGTCACAGTTAAGGCCTTATTTGCCAAAGTACATTGGATTTTTAAAAACTGCAATTCGGAGAACATGCAATGTATAGACTGACTATATAAATATGAGCCATGACTTTACTGACAAATGTGAATGTAGGGACAAATTGGAACAAGACTGTATTTAGCAGCATGAAATAATCGGCATATTAGTTTAGTCTTCCTGTTATGGGTCTTGTCTCTTGAATGTGATCGAGCTATACCTATAGGTCCCTATGTGTTTGTCATAACCATGCATTGACAATGGAAACAGCAGGTTGGATTGTTTGAACATTAATCGCTATTAATACCATTGAGATAGCCTTACAATATATTTTTAACAGGAAATTAGACTACGCTGTAGTTGCTTTAATTTTTTACATTAATTGATAGCCTGTTTTTTAAATGGAAAATACATATATTTAGTACCATAGAAACCTTTATTTGCCTTCAAGCATAAGGGTAATAATATTTGGTCAGTAACTCATTAATTTATTTGTTGTGTTTGTTGGGACTCA